TACATACATACATACATACATATATATATATATATATATATAAAAAGAATGGACAGAAGATATCCTGGGTCATAAAATCCCCCCAAAATTCTAAATAATAAAAAAATATTATTGAACAAAAATATATTACAGATTTTCCAGAAAAACAAAAAGTTACATTTCAAAGATTCGGGCACTTTTGACTGCAAAGGTACCAAGTGTGACCCAAAAATGAAGAGGCTCAGAGGGGGAAACCGATGCCTTGCATTGGACAATGAGTTCTGGGAGCAAACAAAAGTGATTTTGTACCTGGCCATCATAAAATACAGCTTGCCACGGCAACTTATCTTTTTAACTATGTCCAGGCTTAAAGCAGCACTATGTAACTTTTTCTCAAAATTTGCAAAATGTATGTAATGAGCGAGTACATCATGAATTCATCTTCCAAACTGCGTTTTTGTCTTATTCTGAATCACTACGGTACACTTATAATAAGTACTTATATTTGGACTATTGTAGCCTGGTCGGGTCATCACAGCTGCGGAGTAACACATACCTGCGTGAATCGCCAGAGACATAAATTAGAGAAGTAGCTCCGGTTGGAATGTTCTTCTGCGGGATGTGTGCAGTTCTGTTTATTAACCGCTAGAGCGCCAAAATTTACATAGTGCTGCTTTAAATATTAATTGAATTGAATAGTGCTGCTTCAAATATGAAAAACTGAAAATTGTTTTAATTGATTAGCATTCTAAAAATACCATTTTATTTAATATATCCTGCCTCTTTGTTGCTTCTCACCCCATAAGAGCTGAGATAATGTCAATTTTGACAACACATCACGTTGAAATGGCTGAATCGTTCCACCCCATCCACCCACCTTTCCATGCATTTGACTTCTGATAACACGACAGGCCACTCCTGACACTGTAGGGTCTAAGAGAAGATTTTATTAGACATGTTGCAAAAGTTCATGTAAATACATCTGTTTATTTGTATCATATATATTTGAACGGAAGAGCAAAGTGAAAAGTGCTGCTCAGATATGGATTAGAATTTGAAAATGAGTGTTGATCGCTAAATCTGTACCACACAATGCAATGCTAAGCAGTCTGAAGCTGGAGATATCATTGGATTTTTATTTGTGTATTAAACAAGATGCTTTAAAGGAACACTCCACTATTTTTGAAAATAGACTAATTTTCCAACTCCCCTAGAGTTAAACAGTTGAGTTTTACCGTTTTCGAATCCATTCAGCCGATCTCCGGGTCTGGCGGTAGCACTTTTAGCTGTAGCTTAGCATAGATCATTGAATCTGATTAGACCGTTAGCATCTCGCTCAAAAATGATGAAACAGTTTCTATATTTTTCCTGTTTAAAACTTGACCCTTCTGTAGTTACATCGTGTACTAAGACCGACGGAAAATGAAAAGTTGCGATTTTCTAGGCCGATATGGCTAGGAACTATACTCTCATTCCGGCGTAATAATCAAGGAACTTTGCTGCCGTACTATTGGTGCAGCAGGCGCAACGATATTACGCAGCGCCTGAAAATAGTCCCAGCTAGGTAACTTCCAATAAGCCTATTTTCAGGCGCTGCGTAATATCATTGCGCCTGCTGTTTTGGTCATTTTTGATGCTAACGGTCTAATCAGATTCAATGATCTATGCTAAGCTACAGCTAAAAGTGCTACCGCCAGACCCGGAGATCGGCTGAATGGATTCGAAAACAGTAAAACTCAACTGTTTAACTCTAGGGGAGTTGGAAAATGAACCTATTTTCTAAAATAGTGGAGTGTTCCATTAAGCTTCCACAGAAGAAATGTAAAATATTCTGATCTTCTCTTTTTCCCCTCTTGAATATATATACCTTTGCCAACTGTTAGGACAAGCACAGTTTTAGATTGTACAAATTGAAAGCAATATATGTTTGGCACTGAAATAACAGACTTCAACAATACAGGTGAGTAGAAATTCCCAGAGAGTTAAAACCCTGCTCCTGCACCACGGTTTTGACTGATTAAACCAAGACAGGTCAAGGTTAGTTTAATATGGGTTAGTCTGGACCTGATAAAAAAAAATTACAAAATGTACACTGTCATACAGGATCTAGAGTTTGTACTGCAAATATAAATGAAGTGGGCCTGAGTTGATGTTTGGTGTCGCTAAGTGTGATTGTACTGTATCTGACAATTCAAATCATCTGTCTGTATGAATCCAGAATGTTATAGGTACTGTAATCTGCATTCATTGTTTTGGTTGTATACTGTGGCATTACTATGTAAGCCAAGGAACAAAACCGACAAAAACTCATGTTTCACATTGCATAATTCCTATATGAATTAACAGGTGGATTTCATAATAAATGGCTTTCTTAGACACAAATACACCTTTGCTGCAGAGCAAATCTAAACCAGCCCCTTTTAAAGTATTTACAAGGAGTGAAAGTGCTCGATTTGCATTTCTCAGCGTAAAAATAATCGTCAGACTCATCTCCATGTCTCATCGATAAGGATCACTTTTCACACTAATGATGACAAAGCTGCCAAAAAAAAAAAAAAAAGCAGTTTTTTTCTTAAATTACAAGTGCAAGTGGGTATAAAAGTACAATCAACTATGAAGAAGTAGTGCTGGATGTCTGGTTCGGACGAGTCAAGAAAATGGCTAAAAAAGGAAAGAAGCTAAAAAATAAAAAAGGCACATATTTTCCCTTTTTCTGTATATATGTAACTCTGTTAATGACATGAGTTGTTTTAAAACAGTGTAGATATGCTGTCATACAAAAAGTATTTCTAAGCTGAAGCTGAAGCCATTATCTCTGTACATGTTATTGTTCAAACTGTTATCATCTGAAGTTAAAAAGTAGGATACTCTGATTAGACTATATAATCTGCACATACTGGACTGTAAGTGCTGCTTTGCTGCATCTGTTGCAAAAATAAGAGACGTGTGGAACACTACATAGTAAGTGACCTTAGACAATTAGCTTTCATCTACTAATAGTTGATGCTGGGAGTCAAACACCTGAGACGACATGTATGGGATAATCTATTCGTGGTTACGTAAATTTCAACAGTTCAGCCGTTTGTTAGCTTTTTTTTAGAACCTCTAATTACCCGTCTCTTCCTCCGACTCCACTGTACTGTGGTCAATCATGGAGTTGTGTGCTGGGTTGCATACGGTCCTCTCTCTCACACGCCTCCGCCTCCCTCTGCTGTCCCGGTGGAGTGGGAGTGAGGGGACGGGGTGGATGTTTAAGGCATCGTGTCCTGCTGCTGGGAGGAGCTTCACTTCTGGTGAAACAGCAGCGATTTGACACTCCCAGCTTTGAATTTTGGTAACTGGTTGCTGATGATCTCCGCGAGCATTTCGGGAAACTCCACGCTGAGGGATTTATTCACAAAGGTGTAGAAACAGAAGTTCAGGAGTCCACCCACCATCTGAAGACATACAGAGGGGTTAGAGATGTGAAACAGCATTTGTGATGCACTTTACTTTCGAGTGAATCCCAAAAGTAGGGCGATTTTATGATATTAATATCATTTTTCTATGCACACATTTTCTCAGTTTCATTAAAAGTGAAGGAAGTTCATACATTTTGAAAAATGATTATGAAACTGAACATAAACTGCCATTCAAAAGCTTAGGATCATTGACATTAATTAATTTGATTCAGCACGGATGCATTAAATTGATCAAAGATTTTTGCATTGTTACAAAAAGCTAATGTTTCAAATAAATGCTGTTCTTTTAAACTGTGTATTCATCAAATATGAAGCAGCACAAATGTTTCAACATTGATAATAATAATAATAATACACGTTCCTTGAGCAGCAGATCAGCATATTAGAATGATTTCTGAAGGATCATGTGACACTGAAGACTGGAGTAATGATACTGAAAATTCAGCTTTGATCACAGAAATAAATTATATTCTAAAATATTTTACAATAGCGAACGGTTATTTTAAATTGTAAAAATATTTCACAATATTTCTGTATTTTTGATCAAACAAATGCAGCCTTGTTGTGCATAAGAGTCTTCTTTCAAAACATTAAAGAAATCTTAAGGTACATTTAAAAAATCAGGCCGGTTATGATTTCACGTCTCATGATTTCATGTCTTTAAACTACAATAATAATTTATGCAATAAAAAGGCAAACCACAGACATTTGCTTTGTTCCAAAATCTAGTGAATTGCCAAAGCAGGCAGCATCATTTATGGACACTCCTGATGTGAAGACTGTTCTCAAAAGATAAACATCAAAATTATATGCTGGCTAATATACGATACCAAGTTTTGGCAAAATTCTAAGGCAGCATCCTTTGCTTCACTGTGCTTTGCAGTGAAATAAATCCCAGTAGGAATTACAATTATTAAGTAGCAATAAAAAAATATATTTTAATGGAAAAGACAAAATTTGTTTATGCAACTGGCCCCTGATATGGTGACCCTAGTGCCATGTGTTTTTATGCTTATTAGAGTATTGCGTCTTTAGCTTAGGGACATACAAAACTCTACTGGGATCAATTGTTGATCTGAGTCTCTAGAGTGATATTAGTATGTCGTACAGAGTTGCTTCCTATGCACAGCGTTCCAAATGAGTCCATCTCAGTTAGGATGCCTCTTTAGCAAGTGCAGCTCACTAGGGTTTGGAGCAGAGCCATAGTTTTCAAAGAGCATTATTTAGGATAAACCATTACATCATGCATGGAGTCCAGTAGCTTAGTGAGCTGATAGAACCGTTGCCAGTTCTTGCTGGAGTTCTCCTCTCTCTTCACAATGGCCTTGCCCAATTCTTTAATGTAAGACATACGTAGCTCCTCAAACACTGACTGGCTCTTCAAACCATCCTTCGGCACTGAGAAAGCACAACAACACACAAAGGTTTTGTTACGGTCCTCTGTAAAATGAAGTCATTTGACATCAAATGAATTCATCTGGATTCTCAGGGAACCTGAAACCATACGGATCAAGCATTAATGGCTTCTAAAGAAGGTCACCTGTGCTCAGGAGCAGAAGGACTTTCATGCACAGGTACTCCTCGTTGGACACTTGCAGTCTCACAAACTCATTGGAGATCTTCAGCATCTGTTCACACTGATCATTCATGTAGGGCAACCTCATCCTCTCTCTGCAGATGGACACACAAGACTCTTATTAGGCTTTTATGGGCAGTTAAAGGAACATTTCTCCTAAAAATTCAAATTTGCTCACCCTTAGGCCATCAGAGATGGAGATGAGTTTGTTTGGTGATTGGAAGAGATTTGGAGAAATGTAGCATTGCTTCACTTTCTCGCCAATGGATCCTCTGCAGTGAATGGGTGCCGTCAGAATTAATTAGAGGAAGTGTTATTATGGACTGGTATTTTGTCCAGAAGCATTAAAGTAAAAAAATTGTAATAATGAATTTATTACAAACAAGCAGCTTTTGGCTTCTCAAGACATTAACTGATGGACTGGAGTGGTGTGGATTACTTGTGGATTATTGTGATGTTTTTATCAGCTGTTTGGACTCTCATTCTGACGGCACCCATTCACTGCAGAGGATCCACTGGTGAGCAAGTGATGTAATGCTACATTTCTCCAAATCTGATGGAGAAACAAACTCATTGACATTTTGGATGGCCTGAGGGTCAGTACATTTCACAATAGACGATAAACGTTCTGTTTATAATGAGTGCACGCTGCAGATTTGTTGTCTACCGCTGCTCTTCTGGGTGGATTTTGATTGAGTGTCCATGTTTTTATAGTTCATCAGCTAGAACAAAAAAAAGGTTCTGAAAGTGATTCCAAAAATAGTTGTGGTGTGAACTATTTTCATAGAATTAGAATGATTATTTAACACTTTACAGTTATCGTTATCATTATAGTTTCCATGGTGTGAGCGTGTCTTTAAACTGCCAGAGAGATTATTAAAGCAAATGGCCTGTTAAATGAGATACATACTCATTGATGACCAGGTCTGGCGCGAAACACAGCATGTTTCCATTACACTGCTGGTATGACCTCCAGCCTAGTCCAAATGACATGAGGAAGAGCCAGGAACACTGCAGGAGGGTCATCTGATCATCCAGGTGAAGGTTCCTAAACCCTAAAAAGAGCAAAATTGAGCTTTTAGTACACGCTGCGGCTGAAGATCTTCCACATGGCTTTTTAAAGACGTCACTCAACCTTTTTTTTTTATTTTATTTTTTTACAAAATGAGATTTAAGACAAATTATAAATGAGGTGGTGTCCTTTTATTATTTCGCAGACAAAATGCTGCACATTGAAATGTCAAATAACAAAACTAAATAAAAAATTAAATGGAATCCCAAATCAAATAAATAATACAAATAAAAGAAATCTCTTCATATAACCAAACTAAGGCTTTGCCTGTGCTCTTTCCATTTAAAATTAGAGGCAAGCACAGCATTTTAATCACGATCCAAACAAAGATGTTGCATACATGCAGCAGGAGCAGTTTCTGATTTAAATTAGATTGTATAATTTGAAGCAAAAACCGAATGGTCTCACTTCAGCTTGTGAAAATACACTACATAAAATACATTTTACGCAGATTCGCTCTCTGACAGCAGGTGGCGCTTATGGAACAGCAGCGATACATCGTTTCCTCAGTTACTGCTGTAAACAAAGCAGTGCTCAGCTTTAATTACTTTAAACTTTATTTAATTTAAACACTGCTTTAATATGCATTATGCAGAGGCAAGATGAAAAGAAAATACATTTAAACTTTTCTGAAGACAGTCAGTTCCCCTCAGAGATACACTCATATACACCCCCACCGTCAACTGTCTCGCGATTTATTTTAACATTTCATACTTCTATCAGCTTGCGGTGCATCGTTACATCCCTAGTCTCAAGTTGTACCTGGCAGAGCTTTGGCCCATTTGACCGCAGAGATGACCTGCCGGCCGCCCAGCCTGTTCAGAGTGGTCATAAGGCGGGTGGAGGTGTCAGGGATGGTGCTGTCGTATCCGGCGTAGATGGTGTCCGGCTCGATGGCCTTTAGCAGTGACAGCATGGTGGGCACCACCTGGGGCATGGGTTTGGGCACCAGTGCCCGAGGCTCAGGCAGCGGAGGAAGATTGTGCTCTGGAATTGACGGCTGCTGGATTACCTTGCCGGGATGACGCCCCTTCTTGGTTTTACGGGCTGAGCGGTGAATGAGCAAAGTTTACGACAGTCAGTTTTCAAACTTCATGCATTTCCCTTGATTGAATTGAAGTTTTGTTATACATCTAAACTGGCATGTGGGGACACACTGGTGTAATTATGTAACAAGTGCAACATTTTGTGTTACCCTCTAGGTTCATGCCTGTCATGAGGCATTTGCGGTAACGACAGGCAGGGCAGTTCTTCCGGCGGATTTTGTCAATGATGCAATCGTTCCGTCCAGCGCACAGGTAATTGTGTTGCCCTATGAGAATCAAGAATAGTGTGGATTAGACAGGATGCCTCAGGAGTTCCTCATCATGCACAGCTCCACATGAGCTGTCAAAAACTGTCCTGAAACCAACTGCATTGTTTTTAATTGCTATTTTTTAAATGCAGAGCCGTAGTTTGTATAGTTCAAATATATGCACTTAAAATACACACGGATTAGCTGTAAAATCCTATTCATGTTATCTCTCTGCATTAGAGTGATTATCAGAACACATTTTCTCTGTCAGGCACAGATGCATTTCAACACCCACAGAATAAAAAGCATTTTGACCAATGAAAGACTCAGTACGAGTCGCTCGAAATAGACATGCAGTGAGAAAGTCAGGTCACGCTAGAAGGACGTGTCTCTAAATCTACCTAATCATGTAAAGAAAGACAGAGGCATATAATCACATTTTAGTTACTAGCAAAAAACACTTGCGTCGCGCCTGGCGTCACATTGTGCCACGTGTATGATAGGGCCCAAAATGTGTCAGAACTTTCTCACCTTCAACTGCTCTCTTAAAGAAGACTTTACAGCTTCCGCAGGTGAGGACTCCATAATGGCATCCTGAAGCTTCATCAGAGCACACGAGACAGCTCTTGTGTGTGCCGGACTTCCCGGCAGCTGAGGATGTGGCAGTGCGGTCTTCAGGTCTGAAAACACACAAACACAGGGATGTGTGTATATTAGCTAACAGGAATAATACCGTTTAAAGATTTTGAATAATAATGAATTAATATGGTTCAGCAGGAATGGCAAGAACCATCAGCACACATTCTCTTTTATCTTCATCTTTTTACTAACATAGTAATATAAGTAGTTTCAGCCCGCTCCTATGCCAATGCAATAATTATGCAACATGAGAATGAGGATGTGAGACTGGCCACCAGGGGGCGACGGCTGAACGACGGCCTAAACGTTTAGCACTGCTCCACCTCCACACTGAGCCACATTTGCAACGCCTACACATGCATTCAGCGTAAGACAAAGACTATGAGTAGAGAATATGAGTAGGGCTTCACAGTGTTGTAGACGCATGCAAATCTATCAAGTGAAGCAGAGCGAAAAGGAGGAGAGGACAGTTGCATATCCTCTTTAGACAACATGTTTCCCTCTAACAGATGGCAAATGCCAGACAAACAGCTGTCATATCAATATGATTTTCAGTCTAAATTTTAAACTTTTAAACGTTGCGGGCTATAAGTACATGGAAACATAGCTATGAGTCAACTGGTAGAGATTTTGCTGTATCATTTGTAATAAAGTACATACATTTAGTACATACATACGGGGGAAGTCGTGGCCTAATGGTTAGAGAGTCGGACTCGTAACCCAAAGGTTGTGGGTTGGAGTCTTGTACCGGCAGGGATTGTAGGTGGGGGGAGTGAATGTACCGCGCTCTCTCCCACCTTCAATACCACGACTGAGGTGCCCTTGAGCTCCCCGGGCGCCGCAGCAAAAAATGGCTGCCCACTGCTCCGGGTGTGTGTTCACGGTGTGTGTGTGTGTTCACTGCTGTGTGTGTGCACTTTGGATGGGTAAATGCAGAGCACTAATTCCGAGTATGGGTCACCATACTTGGCCACGCCACGTCACTTCACTTCACTTCATTTGCATGACTATCAGCTATGTATTCACATGCGAGGGAAACAAAGAAACATGGAGTAGCGTGAAAATACAGAGTGAGACGTGTTACAAAGACGTGTTAGGCAAAAAACAAACATCACAACTGGCAAGATCCAACTGATGTGTTTAATATTAGTTTTACTTCATATTAATTTTATCTAGTGTTTTGACTCACATGTTACAAAATGTGAAGTTTTTTTGCTCAATATCAATAATCTTATCTTTTGGTCTGCGTTTCAAGTAAATAAGTTCCAAATAAATAATTGAATGAGATACCTGTTATTTTATTGAAATTACTAGACATACTACATGGTTATACAATATATAAAAGTATATATATATATAACTCATCTACTTGATTATTGTCACAGCATGCATTTTATTGCCCTTTAAAACAAAAAAGACCTGTAAAAGAAGCAACCTGTGCATGCACGCTTGAAGTTTTAATAGCATCTTGTCATACCTTTCAAGCTCAACCTGATCTCTATCACCTAGTAAACATTTTAATAATAGTTTCGTAACCCAAAGGTTGTGGGTTTGAGTCTCGTACCGGCAGGGATTGTAGGTGGGGGGAGTGAATGTACCGCGCTCTCTCCCACCTTCAATACCACGACTGAGGTGCCCTTGAGCTCCCCGGGCGCCGCAGCAAAAAATGGCTGCCCACTGCTCCGGGTGTGTGTTCACGGTGTGTGTGTGTGTTCACTGCTGTGTGTGTGCACTTTGGATGGGTAAATGCAGAGCACTAATTCCGAGTATGGGTCACCATACTTGGCCACGCCACGTCACTTCACTTCACTTCATTTGCATGACTATCAGCTATGTATTCACATGCGAGGGAAACAAAGAAACATGGAGTAGCGTGAAAATACAGAGTGAGACGTGTTACAAAGACGTGTTAGGCAAAAAACAAACATCACAACTGGCAAGATCCAACTGATGTGTTTAATATTAGTTTTACTTCATATTAATTTTATCTAGTGTTTTGACTCACATGTTACAAAATGTGAAGTTTTTTTGCTCAATATCAATAATCTTATCTTTTGGTCTGCGTTTCAAGTAAATAAGTTCCAAATAAATAATTGAATGAGATACCTGTTATTTTATTGAAATTACTAGACATACTACATGGTTATACAATATATAAAAGTATATATATATATAACTCATCTACTTGATTATTGTCACAGCATGCATTTTATTGCCCTTTAAAACAAAAAAGACCTGTAAAAGAAGCAACCTGTGCATGCACGCTTGAAGTTTTAATAGCATCTTGTCATACCTTTCAAGCTCAACCTGATCTCTATCACCTAGTAAACATTTTAATAATAGTTTTAGTCATAATTGTCTGTTCCAGGGCTTTTCAACAGTTGGCCCGCAGGCCAAATGTGGCCCTGAGATTAGAAGAGCACTGCTCTATTCAGTGAGCGAGAGCATTATGCATCAGAAAACAGAACAGCTGTGTCAAACACCACCACCTGTAACAGAAATTATGAGAGGATGTAGGTCTATTAGGGTGGAACTAGGGCTGCAACAAACAAATTGATTAAACTAAAGATTATTAGAATGATTAACTGACTAATCATCGCTTATTTCACTGATTAATCAGTAGGCTCTGATCAATTAATCCACTTTTGCAATTTGTTAAAATACTCATTCTATACATATTCATATAGAGCTGCCTTATAGCAGAAAATCAAGTTGTAATTCTAACTGAAAGTGACACTGACACTATTTTTTCATGTTTAATACTGTAATGCTGCTTGCTTTATAGCAGTCTATTGCATAAAGCGTCATATAAATAAACATGAATTAACTTTACTGTAGTGCCGATTGCAGAGCTGGTGCAAGCATTCACATCTCTACAATCAGATGCTTCCTTAACTGCTGTTTTCTCACCGCTGTCATTTTTGATTTGTGTATATTTTGTTATTGAGAGCACGGAGCATATACTTGGGGCAGTCGTGGACTAATGGTTAGAGAGTCGGACTTGTAACCCAAAGGTTTTTCCTCTAACGGAAGAATGAAAAAGTCAGTATATCTGGGCCACACAGCAGCATTTTTTGTTTATAGTTTTGTAAAACTTTCCCACACTGGTTCGGCTTCATTTGAACGTCTCCTAAGCATGTCTTCTTCTATTGGATTGCAGCCGGGAGGGCTGAATTACAGTCTGGTCACACTGTACACACTACACACTGGTCAAACCGCGCTACTGCAGGCCCTTACATTAGGTAATTTGAGATCAAACGACTATTCAAAAACAATATTATTATTTGTCAACTATTTTTTATTGTCGACGTTGTCGATAATGTCAACTAATCGTTTCAGCCCTAGAAGCTATAATAGATTGCTGCAGGAAAAAAAAAACACTTTAATATTTATAAAAGTTATGATATTTTGATTAAAACTTTTGAGGTCATTTTTTAAACGAGACATGCATGGATTAATTTTTCACAATAAGATCTATGACATGCATTTAGAAAATAGATGAGGTGGATTTTCTTTTCATGTCGACTTTAAATATAAATCGGCCTGTCTTTGCAATGAAGAGGAATTTGAGTTTGAAAATGAAGAGATACCCGTTGCTAAAATCCCACTCTCTTTATCTTCCGTTTACTTATTTATAGACTGCATTTGATGGCCACAAAAGCATGTGACTTCCTCCACATTACTTATCCATCTGCTAGTGACGTATCGATCTCTACATTCCCTTCTATCTATTGATCACAGTGGGCTGAAAATCTCACATTCAGTTTGGTTACGGGGCAACATTTTAGTTGTCAGATGCTAGATTGCTAGTCTATTTGTTGTAATAGCTTCATTATACCTTAAAAGGCACATTATGACATTTTGCAAAAGGTTGTGGGTTTTAATCATCGTCTTTATGACAGAAATGCCTAATTCGTGGCTGAAGTCTTCAGTCCCCCAGGATCGGAGAGCAAAAGCAGCAATAAAAAAAAGGAAATAGCACCTACCCTGAGGAGAAACACATGAAAACAGAAAGAGGAAGTTGAGCATGCCATCGCGGTGTCTGATATTTTTGCCTTGCTATAAGACACAGCCTCATGAATAAGGCAGCAAGTACAAACACGCTGCATTTTACACATCAATTCTTAAAATAAAACTATAAATTGTTCCATGAATATATGATCACAACACGAGAAGCTCTTTCTTTCCTTTTTGCACAGATGACTCACCATGTTTGTAAAAAAAGGAAAATGTGGGTCACATTTACTTTCCAACCAGTCTAACCACACTGGTTTGCTCAACCCGAAATACAGTTACATTATCTTCATTCTTCTCAATGGAAATGTCACAGGGTTCAGACAGTAATCATTAGTGCACAATGAGAAAAATAGAGAGGAAAAATACATTTTATAAATACTATTACACAGGCAAGTGTGCTGTTGTATATGAATATCAGCAGATTCAGCACGGCTGTCACATGATTTCAGCGTTTCCCACAGACTTACACTATTTGTGGTGGCACTTCCCCCATTGGGAGGGGGGGGTTGTTTTGTTTTGTATTATAATCAGGGCTCGACATTAACGCTTCTCCGCTTGTCCGGGACAAGTGAATGTTTTGGACAGGCAAGTAAAAGAGAAATTTACTTGCCCAATCGGACAAGTAACTTGAAAATGTCAATACCAAAAACAATAATAACTGCCTTTATTTGTGATATAGCCTTAGTTATAGGGGTGTGTGATATATATCGTTTGCGAGAATATCGTAATTGTTGTTTTAACGATGCGTGATTTGACATTATCGAGTATATTGCAAAAATCAACCATTACACACCTACAGAGTGCACGCATATATTAGGCCTACATAAAGAAGTCTAGTAGGTTAGACTAGTGCACGTGTGCGTTCTTTCACTGCATGATTCAGTATTAAAATGCAGAAAATTCAAGATATGCGGGGGAAATGTATATATTTATATCATTTCATATAGTTAAACAATATCACACGAAGATCAGAAGATTTTTTTGCTCCAAAAATCAGCATGATTACAAATGTGATTTTATACAG